GACCTCAATCCGAGTTGCTAAAACGCTCAAACGTAGTGCACGAATTTCACCACCACAACACTCGTAGAATGCACCGGAGATAAACATTTTGTTTTCAGCAATTATTAAAAGTATAGATTATTACTTGGAGAAGAGTATCAGAAGACTTTAAGTAACCCACAGGTGAGTGTCAGAGATTCTACTTTCTATTTACGATAACGAAACTATATAGCGGAAGCATGCAAGACTGAATTATGCGCACGCATCCGTAACGGAAGTGGGTCCGTCATTTCGTTCTCTGGACAGAATTAATAAGCCGCTCGGCTCTCGCCAAGAGCGGCTTAAAAATTAATCAATTTTGAACTGGTTGGCTGCTAAACTTATTATAAGTGGACCAGCCATCCATAAGTGTTTTCAAAAATTACCAGCCAACAACCAATTCAAGTGTAAACATATCAATTGACTGACTAGGTGTGTTAATATAGATGTAATGACTGTGGGAGATGCTAGTGTAAACATACTCACATTCGTGGAATCCTATAAAACATACCAGCTGACAAACGCTAGTGTAAAGCTATCGACCAGCTCAGATTACAAACAGCTTATTACTAAATAATTTCATTCTTCAATATAATATTACATTGGCAGTTTCCATATATATTGCGATACCAAATATTTCCAGATATTATCAAGTCATATCCTTGTTTTTCCCTTGTGAGCTGTTTGCAATGAAATGTGGTGTAATGATAGAAATTTCTTTTTCTTTCTTTCAAACACAGAGCTGGAAAGATAGAAAAAGATTTCCATTCATAAAGATACTGTTACTTATCTATGTGTAAACGAGGTGTTAAGTTTCCATCCGTAAAGATACCATTACATATCTATGTGTAAACGAGGTGTTAAGTTTCCATCCAAAAAGATACTATTACATATCTATGTGTAAACGAGGTGTTAAGTTTCCATCCAAAAAGATACCATTACATATCTATGTGTAAACGAGGTGTAAAGATTTCCATCCGTAAAGATACTATTACATATCTATGTGTAAACGAGGTGTTAAGTTTCCATCCAAAAAGATACCATTACATATCTATGTGTAAACGAGGTGTAAAGATTTCCATCCGTAAAGATACTATTACATATCTATGTGTAAACGAGGTGTTAAGTTTCCATCCAAAAAGATACCATTACATATCTATGTGTAAACGAGGTGTAAAGATTTCCATCCGTAAAGATACTATTACATATCTATGTGTAAACGAGGTGTTAAGTTTCCATCCAAAAAGATACCATTACATATCTATGTGTAAACGAGGTGTAAAGATTTCCATCCGTAAAGATACTATTACATATCTATGTGTAAACGAGGTGTTAAGTTTCCATCCAAAAAGATACCATTACATATCTATGTGTAAACGAGGTGTAAAGATTTCCATCCGTAAAGATACTATTACATATCTATGTGTAAACGAGGTGTTAAGTTTCCATCCAAAAAGATACCATTACATATCTATGTGTAAACGAGGTGTAAAGATTTCCATCCGTAAAGATACTATTACATATCTATGTGTAAACGAGGTGTTAAGTTTCCATCCAAAAAGATACCATTACATATCTATGTGTAAACGAGGTGTAAAGATTTCCATCCGTAAAGATACTATTACATATCTATGTGTAAACGAGGTGTTAAGTTTCCATCCAAAAAGATACCATTACATATCTATGTGTAAACGAGGTGTAAAGATTTCCATCCGTAAAGATACTATTACATATCTATGTGTAAACGAGGTGTTAAGTTTCCATCCAAAAAGATACCATTACATATCTATGTGTAAACGAGGTGTAAAGATTTCCATCCGTAAAGATACTATTACATATCTATGTGTAAACGAGGTGTTAAGTTTCCATCCAAAAAGATACCATTACATATCTATGTGTAAACGAGGTGTAAAGATTTCCATCCGTAAAGATACTATTACATATCTATGTGTAAACGAGGTGTTAAGTTTCCATCCAAAAAGATACCATTACATATCTATGTGTAAACGAGGTGTAAAGATTTCCATCCGTAAAGATACTATTACATATCTATGTGTAAACGAGGTGTTAAGTTTCCATCCAAAAAGATACCATTACATATCTATGTGTAAACGAGGTGTAAAGATTTCCATCCGTAAAGATACTATTACATATCTATGTGTAAACGAGGTGTTAAGTTTCCATCCAAAAAGATACCATTACATATCTATGTGTAAACGAGGTGTAAAGATTTCCATCCGTAAAGATACTATTACATATCTATGTGTAAACGAGGTGTTAAGTTTCCATCCAAAAAGATACCATTACATATCTATGTGTAAACGAGGTGTAAAGATTTCCATCCGTAAAGATACTATTACATATCTATGTGTAAACGAGGTGTTAAGTTTCCATCCAAAAAGATACCATTACATATCTATGTGTAAACGAGGTGTAAAGATTTCCATCCGTAAAGATACTATTACATATCTATGTGTAAACGAGGTGTTAAGTTTCCATCCAAAAAGATACCATTACATATCTATGTGTAAACGAGGTGTAAAGATTTCCATCCGTAAAGATACTATTACATATCTATGTGTAAACGAGGTGTTAAGTTTCCATCCAAAAAGATACCATTACATATCTATGTGTAAACGAGGTGTAAAGATTTCCATCCGTAAAGATACTATTACATATCTATGTGTAAACGAGGTGTTAAGTTTCCATCCAAAAAGATACCATTACATATCTATGTGTAAACGAGGTGTAAAGATTTCCATCCGTAAAGATACTATTACATATCTATGTGTAAACGAGGTGTTAAGTTTCCATCCAAAAAGATACCATTACATATCTATGTGTAAACGAGGTGTAAAGATTTCCATCCGTAAAGATACTGTTACATATCTATGTGTAAACGAGGTGTAAAGATTTCCATCGGTAAAGATACTGTTACATATCTATGTGTAAACGAGGTGTAAAAATTTCCATCGGTAAAGATACTGTTACATATCTATGTGTAAACGAGGTGTAAAGATTTCCATCGGTAAAGATACTGTTACATATCTATGTGTAAACGAGGTGTAAAGATTTCCATCGGTAAAGATACTGTTACATATCTATGTGTAAACGAGGTGTAAAGATTTCCATCGGTAAAGATACTGTTACATATCTATGTGTAAACGAGGTGTAAAGATTTCCATCGGTAAAGATACTGTTACATATCTATGTGTAAACGAGGTGTAAAGATTTCCATCGGTAAAGATACTGTTACATATCTATGTGTAAACGAGGTGTAAAGATTTCCATCGGTAAAGATACTGTTACATATCTATGTGTAAACGAGGTGTAAAGATTTCCATCGGTAAAGATACTGTTACATATCTATGTGTAAACGAGGTGTAAAGATTTCCATCCGAAAGATACTGTTACATATCTATGTGTAAACGAGGTGTAAAAATTTCCAATTTGTCATTCTTACCGCTTCGACTTCTTGTTTGGTTATGGAAGGTGCAAGGTTTCGAAGGAAGATGGAGCAAGTTTTGTGCAGAGCACGGGGTTTGGGGGAGTGGTTTATCTCTCCTCCCTCCTCCTTCTGGGTGGTATCCTCGTCTTTTTCATTCTCTACTGTTTCATCTTCTACAGGTAAAATATACAGGTACATATATATAGGATCTTAATTGAGTTTCCATTTCATATGAGATTTATGAAACGAGTCTAAGAACTTTTCAATTTGGCGAGCTTCTGGCGAGCTAAACTGAAATATTTGTGATGAGTTTCATAAATTTCATATGAAATGAAAACGAGTGTAAGATCCTTTTTATCACATAATCAAGATTTGTGGCATTTATTCATGTAAAACGACAATTTTCATGCAACCTTGAAATGTAAAAGTTTGTGACGTCATGTACTTGTTCTTGGCATGACGTCACAATTGAAACAATTGAAACTTACAACCAATCACAGGGTTGATAGGTCATATTACATGGGTATATTCACTGGATAACACACTACATTATGTGATAAAGGTACATATAACACTAATCCCTACAGGTAAACTTTCTCTATTGAACCTTTGTCAAGAAAGACATTTCTTTAAATAACATACCAAGGTACCTTTCTTTTGTGTCCTCTGGTTTCATAACATCCTTAGGCGGGGAGATTAATGTTTCCCCACTTCGGGGGTAAGACAGAAAACATCTCAACCCTCAGGGTAAGATTCTTAACTCTTTCACCACTGTAGACCATAATGGACTCATCCAGGTCAATGCATGGTAGAGTCTATTTAAGTTACATAGGGTTGAAAGGGTTACATGTTGAGGGCCAGACATTTAAGAATCTTACCCCAAGGGTTGAAATTTTTCTGTCATAAAGTGGGGAATGATTATTTTTCACCCACATCAATCACAACAAATATGTGACATCAATGCAATGCTGATCATGAGTCAAGCTGACGTGATGTCATGCAATCGTTATGACAGGGGAATACCCCTGTCTTTACCTTAGGATAAGACGATAGAGTTGTCTTTTCCTTGAACGGAACTACATACGTATGACTATCACTGTCAAATGAGGAAGAGAAGTGTTTCTGTATATACCTTTCTTTGTGTCCTCTGGTTTGGCTACATCCTCAGTGGACGAGGAAACACCAGGCACGCTGACAGAGTCTGTTGACGACTCCAGACCCGTTGCTGGAGGTTCATCCTCAAGTCCAGGTGGCGCTGGTTCCGGTTCCGACTCGGAACCTGTTCCACTCTCCGACTCTGAACCACTCTCATAGCTGTATTCAGTTTTATCGCGGTGTCTTTTCTTCTTTTTAGGTTTCTTTTCCTCCTATACCAAGAATGTTTGTAAGCAGACATTAATTATAAAGCTTCATTGGTATTCATTTCTGTTTGACATGCCTTTTCTGTCTGAAACCCAGTTTTGTATTGAAGACTGAAAGTTTTCCTTTCCGTTTACATGCCATTTTGGCTTTACATGCAGTGTATGAAAAAGTATCTTTGAATTCATGTGAGAAGCTATGCGAGACAATTTTTCGTATAAACGTATTGCTTTTTCAACTGTCCTTGACGGCCAGTATCTGGATCAGGTGTTGACTAATGAGTTTACATTATATATAAATCACAGACGATCCTTGTTATATCCTATCCACACCTCATTGGAGCCAGAAGAAAAGAAAAAAACAGTTTTTCTTTCACTTTTTCTGTGGCTTACTGCAAAATCAACATACTGAAGATTGAAATAAATATCCAATTTTTTGAATGATTTTGTTTCATTCTAATTGGAATACATGTTCTTGCTTGTCTACAAGCAAATGGTATCAGTGAAATAATGTTTGAGATAAGAAAGAAATATATTCTGCATATATGAAATTGACTACTTAAGGATGGTAAAAGAATCTGGTTGGGGATAACTTAAGCATTTTCCTATTTCTATCATTTCTTGTAATATTGAAAATCCTGAAGAATTAGCCTGCTTTGATCTCACCTGGTGGCTGGCCACATCCTATTGGTTGTGTAAACCTGTGCCTGGTTGTTTTTTGTAGGTAACTACTTTTAGTTGAATTAAAAGATTTTGTAATTTTTATTCAGCTTTAAAACTTTGAAATATAAAATGTATGTTTCTTAAAACCTAATTCAATCCTCCTTACCAATGTTTATATATAAAGTTATCTGTATCAGTCACACAAAGAGGTAAACCTGATAAATGTATATCGAATGTTAAGATATTTTAGATCATTCACATACAAAATATCTGAAAAATCTGAAAAATGAAAAAAAGAAATATGACCAGTAATATAGAGCACCACACCACAACTAACTGGAAGGGGAAAGAGAAAGCAAACGGAAGGCCTTTCACCATCTCGGAGAGTCAGGGAACAGACCAAAACCCATTGTCGACCAAAACCACAGGAACTATCAATCGGATTTCATCTCATTCATGGCTAATAGTTTTTAACTATAAAGAAAATGTAATGGCTTCTTTTTAGAAATATTAATCTTTGAAAATGCAGGTTTTTTTTTCTTCTCAAATGTTTTTTTACGGAAACTACAGACTTTTTCTATTTTTATTAAATTGGGATACAAAAGACCCAAATTCCACTTGGCAAAAAACTGCACTGCCTACAGGAAAACACTACCAAATCCGTTCATACCTGATCACCATTTTTAGCTTGCTGCTGTTTGGAAAATTCTTGTGCTTTCTTCATGAGCTCTTTCTGTTCCGCAGAGATTGGAAGTTTCAGAGGCTCCTGGGGAGGGAACAACAAGCTGCAATCAAGGCTAGCCACACAAGAGAATCATACAACACAAGACAGATGCCTCCTTTTCACTGTTTCATTATATTCATGGCCCAGTGATCTCCCTTTGTTACTGTATACGTAGAAATGTTTGGTGCAGTTAACTTTCGCCATTTTGCCCGTCGTAATGTCGGCAAATTTATCAAAACAGCAAATTTGATTATAAACAACATAATATGTTAAGTAATGAGATTTGAAGGGCAATATTAACACTTTGTGAATATGGATTTTAACGGTGAAGGGTGAAAATTTAACTGGACGAAATTTTAATGGTATACGGTACTTCATACCCTAAGATTGCTGATTATCAAAATTATTTGACAACCTTTTGCTAAATCAAACCTTCATTTTGACATGATGTCTTTAAAATAGAGAAAACTTGGTTTTGGAAAGGTCAAATCACAGGTCATTCAGTGAAAGAAAAATTATACATTTTTAATGTGTTACGTATAAATAAATATCAAGTCACTCGAATGGTATGTCCTTTTTTTATATATTAAGATTATACTGCATTCTATAAATATACCGGTCTGTAAGTAGCTAAGACATACAGGGAACGGTTTCTATGTTAAACACTCAGTACATCAGGCTTACACTCGTGGGTGAAAGTAAAGAAGCACCAATGACAAAAGACCTATGCAAATTTAAGATTACAGAGATCTGATTACATCTACTAGATCACAGCTTTTTTACATAATGAAACAAACTCAATTTTTCAATTTTTATTCTGTTTAAAGTTGGATTTTGTTTAAACAGGTTTTTTTCAATCATTCTTAATGTTTCATCAAAAAATATTTTGAACAGTTCTAAATTTATAGCCCATGACATATTTCACTGGAAATTTTGCATTTATTTCACCTTCGACCTGCAAATTAAGGTCACTCTGACCTTTTACAGTACCTACACTTATAACAAAACATTTCTCAAGATGTTTATACATATTGTGTTAATCGTAAGACAATCCAATACAAGAAGGGAAATTTGGGACAAACTGCAAACTATTCTTTCTTGGTTCAGCTAGGCCAAATATTAGAGTTTGTTAATGCTATTAGTAAACAAGAACACAGTTAAAGACTATTTAATTTTGGGAAACATTATCAATGAATATCTTTAGCACTTTAGAGTGGCTTATGTTAGCTAGATAGGATGCTATATCAAATGTTGTATATTATTATTATTATCTTCCAATGACACCATAATAATTAAACTCAACAACATTTTAATAATTTCAGGGAAATTCTAGTCACATTTTTCTTTAATTTCTAACATCTAATTTTATTTTTTTTAAAAGGTAGCAACTCTGTTTGAATCTAGAATGTAGGACTAACAAGGTCCAATTATATATGTATACCAGGATTATTAGCAAGGTGTCATCTTAAAATGATCAAACAAAACGTTTTAATGTTTAATAAAGTTTTAAGATGGAAAACTTGAATGAAATGATCAAATGGTTCGAGTTTGATTGCTAGGTTGTGATTTAGGTCCTATTGACAGATATGGTCATTTCCAGACATGCATGCCAGGTTTTGGAGGTAAAGTAAAGCCAGAGTACCCAGAGAAAAACCACCGACCTGCGGTTAGTATCTGGCGACTGCCCGAAGTAGGCCTCGAACCCTTCTACATAAGTAGGATGTGTCTGATGATCTTGTGTTGGCATAACCGAAACCCATTCACCCCTAAAGTCACATTTGAACCTTACCAAATCAAAGACTGGGCAAGTCCAATTTAAAGTTGTAAGGGTGAATGGGTTAATGATACTACAGAAATAACCCTGTCACCATGACAACACAACTAGCACCCACAACCCCATTCACCAATTACACTTCATCATTTACATGTTCGTAACTATAGCAATTTTGTACTGAATGTTATTTCATCATTTCGTATCAACACTAAAATAAGGGACACACGTGACCACAACAGAATGTAAGCTTGAATTATTCTATTTATAAATGCAAAAGATAATTCAGGTAGGATATTTCTTATATTTATTTATTAAACAATCATATAAAGTTGTATTAATTGTACAATATTAATTATACATAATTTTAGTGTGGAATATATTATTTTCAAAAATCATTGTAACTTGGTATTTAGTTAGCATATGCTGTTTCATACAAAATGCCTATTAAATATGCTGAAGTTATGTTTGTTGATGAAGAAAATTACCAGGAATAATGTATATATGTTTAACATTCAATAGGAGAAACAATTACAAATATTAACAAAAAGAAAATATTTAAACATTAAAAATGTCTCATTTTTATTCACAAAACATTTTCACTGTATAAAAAGCTAATTATTAATAATTATATAGATCTTTAAGCTTTCTGTTCTCATCAACTACATCTTGAATATCTAATTAGTTTGAAGCTAAAAAAAAATATACCCGACACCTGAAATTTGTCATGCATTGAGTGACTGACTTCGGGGTGTATTACTATCAGACAGGTACCTAACCCAGCATACATTCACCCTCTGTGATTCCAGTTATAAGGCATACTTACGTCTGGTTTCTTATCCTTGGAACTTTCCCGTCTTCTCTTTTTCTCATCTGGACTGTAACAGATTTTAATAATGAATTCAGTATCAATAATAATAAATTCATAGTCAGTGGGAAAATGATTCAGTGTTTATTTTTTTATCATTTTTTTAATGATAGACCACATGGTTGCCACACCAATATTTCCCCTTTTAATTTGATTAGTAAATATCTGTGGTATAATACTAGAACACCAACAGGTCAGTAAGGGCCCTGCCATGTACCTGACTGTACACCCATCCTCCACAATGGTCCTTTTTTTAGTAATAGTGATCTTGCCTTTTACCTCAGAAACTTTATAAATCTCTATTGGACATTTACATCCATGTCATTTTTCCAAAAGATTTCTTTTTTAGATTCCGGGAGAAGGACCAGACCCCCATGGTCTATTTTTAGTAAAAATGACCATAACTTTAGAAACTTTGTGAACCCCTATTACACATCTACATATCACAATGTATTATCATTTTAAAATTTCAGACAAATTATCTTTTGGATTCTGAGGTCGTCTCTGGAACCAATAGTGTAGACGGACAGACAGAGACAGTATTGACACCGTGATTACTATAGGGCATCTATGCAGGGTCAGAAATATATATGAAAGTTGTTTTAGATTCCACTCTTTAGCCTTGATGCTTACCTCTGGTCCGTGTTCACAGACTCAGAATTGTTTCTGCTACGCGCCCCGCCGTCCTCTTGATCAGGCTGGTCGAGGATAGACAAATCAAAATCTGTACCACCTTCCATCTTTATCACCGCTAAAAATAGAACAAAGTGTAAACCACTTTCTCTCTTAACTCATTCACCCCTGAAATTTCATAATGAACTGTTCCAACCTTTGAATTAGAAGAGTTCAAATGTCTCTCAAGGGGTAAATGAGTTAATATCACTGCTGAATATAGATATAAGAGGCTGAGGCAAAACAGAAATTCTCGGTCAAAGTCAGTGTGTTTACGTTTTCTTCTGATAAAGTCATCGCCAAAACATATATCCACAATGACTTTCTATAGGAGCTAACATAACAGACAGATATACAATGAAAGTTCTATAATTATAAGTGAATGCAGAACAGCTTGTGAATGCTTAGCAGTGATAAATCCTCATATGAGGCGGAAGTCCTATACTCATAGAATTTAGGTGGGACTCATGGAATTTCTGGAAATACTTAAATTTAATAATGTGGGACCTATTGCTTAGAGCAATACAGTTGAAACAGATCCATGGAAGTAAATTGCAGACTGATCACTTGCTTAGGTGTTAAAAGATGCCTAGACCATTCATCTTGTAAAAATAATGAGACTTTTTTTACAAAATATTTGTTTACAGTGAGATGATGTAAAACACTTTGGTTTGTCACCAACAGAACATACACTTTTCATACATGTTAATGGATAATTAAGTGCATAAATTTTGGAGAGATAAGCGTCAATTCTACAAAGGGCTGTAACTGCATAAATAACCGGCAAATAACTTTGGTTATCGAACTTGTCCGAGCTTTCATGACAATGAACCTTCCTGATAAGTTTGAAATTAATCCATTCAAAATTATTCAAGTTATTGAGTGGAAACTGTTTCGGCAATTCTACAAAGGGCCATAACTCTGTAAATAACCGGCAAATCATTTTGGTTATCGCAAGCTTTAATAGAAATGTACCTTCGTATGAGGTTTGATATAAATCCATTCAAAATTACTGAAGTTATTGAGCGGAAACTAAAGTGTGCCCGCCTACGTGGAAACATAATACTTCCCGTCATTCGACAGGCGTATAAAAATGAAACCCTCAAGTATTGCTCCTCAACATTTTTGGAATTTCCCTACAAGATGTAAGTCTCATATTATTACAAGCATTAGCAACATCTAACAAGACCTATTGTATTTCTATAGACAATCACATCTCGCTCTCTTTTTAACACATATAATCCAACATGTCATAAGGAGATAGATGGCCATATATAAGATTTTATATTTTGTCGCCAGATCCTTTCAATTTATGTGATTGTTTTGTATTGTAAATGAATTTGATTAATAAATATTGTTTAAACCAACATGTCATAAAGAATTTCCAAATCCTTCACAAGAAAAATCTATCATTACCAACAATTTGTATTTTTAATACGACACGTTCAGACATTTATATTCATGTACATGGCTGTATTTTTATTACCTGCATCCAGAAGTTTAACAATCTGTTCCGACTTGTCAGTGTCGCATGTTACTCCCTCCAGACGCCCAACATGGAAGAGCTCCGTAAATACCTTACACCGTTGACGCAGGGCCATTTTTATTTCCTCCTGACGCTTTTCACACTCCTCAGGGTGGTATTTCGTCTTAAACCTGTAAACCATCCAATCAAATTACTGTATACAAAGATGATATTATGAGTTTATTTTTTTTACATCAACTGCTCATGAAGCATAGCTTTATCAGGAAGCTTTTCATGAAATTTCCCAAAACAGAAACAAAGCTAAAATAGACACCTTGCATACAATTTTCATAAACTTTTATTTTGATGTTTTCATAATAATTCAGTTCAGTCGAAATTAAATACATGTAATCCTTAATAACATAGTGTCAAATAATCATATTTATATTAATAACAGATTTCTGTTCACACATTACACTACAATTCCAGGAGAGGCTTTGATATCTGAATGCATTTTATTTGGATGGGTTATAAATGCATACCCTTTATTTTTTTGATACACATAACCTAACAATATTCTTTGAAATAAGCGAAATAAAACAGAAATCTGTGCCCGGTAAACTCGGCTTTGTCTATCTAAAGAAATTTCACGAACATACACTGTATAGTTAAACAAAACTCAAAATATTGATAAAAGTACATGTACAATGTAATACAGATATAATTTATACACCACATGTGTACATCAGTAGAAAATCACAATTGTTCTGTATAAATTCATCTACTCTTCTAGTTGAGAAGGGTCCAGATTTTGAAAACGTAAAAAGCATGTACAGTATATCTTTGACCATTTCAAGTTAAACATTTTTTTTTTTGCATTTTTTTACTTAAATTCTTATATTTTTGCTTCATCAATTTTTTACTCCAAAATTTGAAAATGAGAAAGTGTTTGTACCCTGTGTTTTAATGAGGGGAAGTTAACTCCCAATTACCTGATTTGGTCATTTTGATTGACAGTTGGAGATCAATCGCCACGCCTCCACTTTAACACAAACTTTTTATAACGACAATTTTGCCCAGAGAGCACCGTCTCAACAGGCAAACGTCCGACGACCTAACATCTAACCCTAAAACTGTTTATTTCCTATACTGCATTGTGCGCAGTGCCCTAACAATTCTACGCGAGTCTTCATCAAAATCTTGAGATGAAAATAAAGCCCACCGATGAATCTTGACGACAAAACCCTTCTGGCAGGAGAATTGTCTTTCCTTTCCTTTGTAAAAAACGTCATCAACAAATTATAAAAAGCACATGCAACAATGAAGTGTTTTAATTAACTCATCCACCCCTGCACTATGTAAGAGACCACTATAAACCGTATGATAGTGAAGAGGGAGGGGTAGATGAGTTAATTTTGAAGCAATTGATCTGCTATCTTATAAATGTCAGCACACCGAAGGACTATTGTCTGGTCCCTAGTACTTACAAATGTACCATTTCAACAATCTTAAAAGAAAATGAAACCACAACATGATATTGTTTATATTTAAAAATTATTTATTTTTAATTTTATTTAAATAACCAGTACACAGATGAATAAATTCAAATGTATCACAAGTTATTTTCAAACTTTTCCTTAATAAACTTTGACGAAGTACTTTATTCCAAAAACTGAATTTTGATTATTCAAGATTTCTCGAAAATTGTATCAAATAAAAAAAAAAAAAAAAAAAATCAATTTCGGAGTTTTTACTTTAATTTCAGTTTTGGATTTTTGAGATGGTACCAGTATAAGAGAACACATGTAGGAAGTTAAAAAGACAGGCATTCCCATTTAAACTTCACACAATTTATACAAAATTTTGTTAAGTAATAATGTCCAATGTGTCCAAAACATTTATCTCTTTAGGAAGTGACTGTCTTAAAAACATCCATGCTTGCTTCAAAATTAAACAGTTCGTTTTCACACACAGAAAATAGCAGTTTCAATGTATAATTCTAACCCCAACTTACCAGCTAAAGTTATAATTTAACCCCCCAGCCCTTCAAGGAATTTCATTATATTGAAACCAGTACCACTTCAGGAAAAGATAGTTTATTTGTGTGGTGAACTTAAGTGATAGATCAAAATGTCAAATAAAGCATTTTGGATTTAACCATAGACATAAAGCACACTATTTCTAACTTTGTTTTGAATAACAGCGTAATCATCAAATCACTTTACCAGTAGCAAAATAAAAGAACATGCACTTTTGATTAATATTAGGTCTGTATTCGATGTAAATTTTTACTCTCTTTAAAGAAAGTATCAGAAGAATTACTAAGTCTTAGTGTGTTTCCTCAAAGAAAATTTGCTGTATTGTTATGGTTTATTTTTATCTGTTTAACACCATTTCAGTTTAAGTTTCTTGAAACCAGTAACATTTGGAGAACTTCGGATTTGTTTTCAGAAGAAATTGGGCTGAATTGCCATGGGAATGAGTGACCCCAATATTATATTCAATAGACAGACTCTTAGATTGGTGAGACTAAGCATGTTACCTGTACAGGTTCAAATTGCAAAATAAACCCGGTATCAATTTCATCCCCATTTTAGCATGATGCTATTCAACTTCTATGTACCTATCCCATAGTTTATAAATCATCTGATAAGAAACACAGTTTGTAAAAAAAATCCTAGTGCTAAAAAAATCCTCACCATTCTTCTTCCTTGTGTGCAAGGAAAAACTCGTGTGTTTGCTGTCGTTTAAAGTCCATTTTATACTCATTGTACTTCTTGATGGCATCCTGGTCGCTGATGCTGTCATCCTGCTGAGCTAGGAACTGTTTGAACGACATCATCGAGGGCTGTGACGGTAGATCAGAATCCCTTGTGAAAGAAAACAAAACAGGAATTGAGAAATTGACACAGAGCTTTTTCCACGTATTTTGGGGAATCTTATTTCGATTCCAACAAAAAACTGCATGTACTACAAATACAATTAATAGAATATGCATTTTTTTTACTGATTGCATTTGGTGCAAAACAAAAACAATTATCGTAAGCTTCATATCTAGCACCTGCTGTACATTCTTGGAAATATCCCAATTGAATTTTTCTCCCCCATCATTTTTATAAACACATATACTGCAATTAGCAGCTGATATCCGAGACAATTTATTGGGGTATTGTTTCTTTCAAAATTAACTTTTTTTTGAGATCTATAATTGGTGATAAATGACAATACATTATTTAAATCATGAGAGTAGACCGACAGTTGAACGAAATGAAATAAAATATCCTTAGAATTTTATATATTTCATTTAGAAACTTACTATGTTTCAATTCCTATGTTAGGCCATCCTTGTTTTCATTTTAATACCTTTAATTCTTGAAAATAATTATCATGTAATATTTTAATGCACACTATCCATAATATTACTATTTCAAGTGTATCATGGGAACCAAGAAGTACATCTTCCAAGTACATGGAAACAACATGTGGAATTGGAGTGTTTAGAAAGAAAAAGAATAAAACAGGGCACAATTTTGGCATTAAATAAAGAAATCCCTAATACAGCAGTATCTCAGTTTTCTAAGATTTAGCTATTTTCGTATTAGGTATTTTCTTCAGTAGTAAAACAATGATACAACATTGAGAAATCAGGGAAATATGAGCTGGGAATATCGAGCACGAGACAGAAACAAGAGTCAAAGAGAAACTCAAGTCACGTGATCAACCCAATCCACTATGTATACACTGATACAGGACTGAGCTAGTATAACACCTGTTGTGTCCGGACTGGTTAAAGCCACTGCCTCCCTGTTGCTGTGGGGGCATATTGTTGCCAACCTCGTGACCATGTCCCCAGTTCTGTGGATGCATTCCTCCTCCGTGCATCGGTCTTGCCCCGTAACCGCCGCCGCCACCTCCTCCTATGTCGTACTGGGGGTATCCTCCGCCCCCACTACCTCCTTCCTCCCTGGAAATGACACACACACATAAAACAAGCAAATGTCTGTAATCCATGAATGCCCAGGGGGCGCCCCTTGGCCCTGAGGTTGACATACAAATAACAATATTGACGTTGGCACCCTGAAATACGAATTCATGATGAAAATCTGTGAAATGAAGTTGGTAGATAATTACATAAAATCAAGAGACTTAAAAAGCAGGAACAAGTATATTAAGCCCTTGTAATTCTGTTTAATACTACGACACGAATTCAGAAAAATTGTATTCAAGGACACAAATAATTATGAAAGATTAAAATTTCATTATTTTTCGTTTCAGCACTAAACCTACTGATTGGTTGGTTGGTTAGTGGTTTTTCGTCTTTCTTTCACTGACGGTAGTCGGTGTTTCGATTGGCGCCCAAACACAAAAATAATATTGTTTCAGCCCTAAAACTACAGAAAATGAATCACTTACTTATACCAATTGTCACGTCTCATACGTTTCGCATTTGGTGGACTCATTTCCCTACGACCAGTTGGGCTATAGGCTCGTTCCCGTCTCCGGGAGTCGTACGACTCCCGGTAGTTGTCACGACGATCACGTCCCCCACTACGGCTATTCCACATTTCCCTAGATCTGCCAGCAGATCTGAAATGGCATTTTTAGCAGAAAAAAATCAGTCGTTATGTTTAAATATTGATATACCGTTTCCAAGAACAGGGAAGAAGGATGGCAAGCGTTTAGATCTCCGCTAGATGAAATGTTATTTGAAAATCCTTTGCAAGCTTAAAATATTCATTTTTAATCATTTTAGCGAATAAATGATATAAATTAAATTTTCATCATTTTAGAGAAAACATAATGTAAATTAAATTTTCAATGAATACAAATATAAAATGTTGATAATGAAGCTGAAGTGACCCATATAAAGTTCAACATTTTGTAATAAGCATATTTTATACTATAAACCTCAGGGTAAATACACTAGCAGGACACTTAAATCACCCACCCCTGAAATTTCACAATGAACTAGTCCAACCTTTGAATTGGAAGAATTCAAATGTGTATAACGGGGGATGAACGAGTTAAGCAATAAATTTACAAACGATTAGCATAAAATTTATTTATGGACAGTGATTTTTTTAAGATTTTTTTCTCTCTGGCAAATCAATTTCTTTTTTAAAATGAGTCCAATTACTAAGAGCTGTAGTGGGTCCTCAAAAAGTTGGTGAGTCCCATAGGAATAAAGTCTTATCAATGCATTGTCTCAATTTTTTTCTTCTGTTCTTCATTATTATTGGAGGTTTACCAACAAGCAGTATTGTATCTCAGAAAAAGCATTTACCAGCTACATACCCAGGTTTTACAGGTTAACCTATACATATACCAACACCATAATGAGATAAGCGAGAGGATGGGTTTGAAATAGTTGGATTGGAAAATAGGGCTGGCTTCATATATATGTTTGCCATTATATCATCTATACAAAATTACTATCCTTTTCTTTTCGAATCTAAAATGCACTTTGACGCAAAGCCAAGGCCTAAGACAAAATATTGTTGGATCCGACATTATCAAATCAGAATATAATTTTATTATGTTATACTAATTTATTAACAAACATCTGTGTGTTTTAAATAATTTATAAGAAACTAGACATTATACTGCTTTGTGAACACTTTGTTATTTAAACAGTTTGTAAGTAACAGGACGTTATCCTTCCTTTTTTGGTAAAGACCGGTGTTACTTTCGCAAAAAAAAAAAAAATGTTTCTCAACTGACACTATTTGTACTTTGACCTCGGTCCTGAAAGTGTTTTTATTGATGGACAGAAGAACCTATACAATCTTCTTTAGGAGCTAAAACTAAAAACACAAACTTGTAATTTTGTTTGGCCTATGGGTCACTTAAATCATGTCATGCTCGAAGAAATTCTAAAAAGTATGACATGAAAAAATGAACAAATGTTTTGGATTAAAATGTATTTGATTTCTCCATACACAAAACTTTTCATCAACCTGATATAAGCAAATTAATATGAGAAATGTTCAAGGCTTGACTACTGCAGTCGATCTTTTTGAAGGGACAAATTTTGTCTTTCAAAGTTTTTAAATTAGATATTTTTTATCGATAAAAGTTTGAACCAAAACACTGGATCTGGCCAAATAATTTCCATGAAAAGGTTTCCAGGTTGGACAGATGTGATTATTTTTTAAGAATTTAGTGTCAAGCCCTGAGAGTTGCCAGCCCTATGATGGTAGAACCTGTCTAATTCCCACATCTCTCTTGGTTCTCGGCGTCTGTCGTCACCACGGCGCTCATAATCATTCCTCTCTCTTCTAAACTTGTCTCGTCCTTTCCTGCGATCATAATCTTCATCACTGTCACCCATACTTGAGTTTCTGGAAATGTAAGAAAACATAATTTCACGAATATGTTTTTATTCAAATTGAGAAATAAGATACACAAGTAGTTTAAAAAGACTACACTATCGACAATACAGGTTCTAGTCTCCTTATCAGCATATAATTGTAACAAAAAAAGCAGGCACTAAATATAATCTGAAACAGGACATGGACTCAAACCTCATCTTCAAATCATCATAATTTTGTTTTCCTTTCGGATGAAATGAATGATTTCGGCCCAACTATAAAACAATCAACTAGTACATATTTATTTTCATTTATGAATCCCTGCACCACTTCAAAACCCCATAACCTTGCAATGGAAAATATCTGCCCTGCATGACTATAGCTAGATATATAATTTCTGACACCTTGCAAGATTTTAACGAGAAAATAATATGAGACAGCTCTGTGAGACAAGCAAACAAGAATCTACACCAGTTTTTCGAGAGTTCAAATTTAGTGGAGCAAGACCAGGATTTAAACCCTGGTCCTTAGACTACTATATATTCATTCTAACCCACTGAGCTACCCGGTGAACGATAGTCTCTGGCCAAATAGCGCTACAGTTTCTGTTATAGCCAAAACTAAATCAAGGGGAGGTAACTGAATGTTTGAAAAACTTCTGGAGTTCTCTATCGTTTCTCCAAAAGTGGGGCAGTGATCCTTAACTAACTATGCGAATAAAATAAGATGTTATGCAACTTATGCCGTGAGCTTATGACGCTGTCAAGATATCAAACTCAGATACGAAAAGCGAGTCACACATTTTGAAACCCCTTCCCTTGAATCTTTGATGTTGTATTATGACCACCTTGGGCGATTCTAGGGGTAAACAAGTATAATAGAGCCAAAGATGGCAAGAAGTTATCATTATTCAGTCCATATACTCATGAATCCGATGTTTTATCTCTGTGCACGGTGTATGTATATCTTGGATTTTACAGACCGACTCGGAAAGTCAAAGAGACGGTACCGTTAACCTAACATAACCATTAGCGTAAAATCAGACAACACATGGGTTGAATTTTATATGTGCATAACTTGGTTGCCATCGTACAATACGCATGAAAGGATTTGAGCAACATTGACCAGTCAAGTTCTCGGTTGGGAAAAAACATATGGCGCGACGATAGCAGTACGCCGCCAGGAAATTCAATCCGAATATCACGAATACAAAAGCTCAATACCAAATTTATAAATTCAAGTCATAACGATATAGGTGATAGCAGATCATGCCATAAACAAAAGTTGCAATCACGAATGAATGTGTTGTCAAAATAAGAAAACAAACATCTGTCTGTAACAAAAAGATTCTCACTCTATGGCGCTCCGGATATAGATGTCGCTTTCATCGCAAGTTGAAACTAAATGTCGGTCTAGATAACGTCTTTCCGGAAATACAGCTAACCGCTTAGAATGTTACAATGTCGTATTTTAAAAATGTTACTTTTATTCGAATCTTCAATCATAATGGACGCGATTACTAAGTAATTAATACTGAGAACAATGTCATATAACAACCTGCAAAAAATGTACCGGGTAGTGGGTTTGCAAGGATGGAACGTTCTGTCAGACAAAATATTGTTTTTCAAAACAAACTAAATAGTCGCTTGAAAAAACAAGCACTCCTGTTCAACTACAAAACAATAAAAAAAATCCATAGACATTAATGGTAGGTGTATGTAAAATGACAGTATATAGATATGGAACGCCAAATTAACATATATTCAATTAATTGTACATATCTTCAAATAATTGAAGATATGTACAATTAATTGAAGATAAATTAAATTCATTTGTAGGCCTACCTATCTTTAAATGATTAAAGATAGGTTGAATTCAATTGGAGATAGTCTATCTTCAATTGAATTTTATCGTATACCTATCTGAAATTGAATTGACAACTCAATTTCAGATAGGTACAAATAATTGTACCTTTCTTTAATTATTTAAAGATGGGTACTATTGAATTGAACCTATCTTCAATTAATTGTACCCATCTTCAATTGAATTGAATACATCTTCAGTTATATTAAGAAAGATGCAATTAATTGAATATAACTTTGATACTTTTGATAGAAACGGCACTTGTCTACATTACGGGGAATGAAACCGAAGAGGGAGAACCAAGAATCAATGTACAGTTTACCAGATAGATAGAAATTTTGTCTGAGCCTTGTGAAGAATACTTTTGATAGTCCTGTAGTCCTGTATTCCTGGACTAGAAATACACTTAACTTAAGTCTTTGTATGGTGTTGAGAAACGCATTTCATGATGCGACGTTCTTGAATTCAAGATATTTTATTAATTTCACTTTCAATATTGACCCGGTGTGTTACAAATGGATTTGCAAATCATTGTAACTTTGTGTCGATCCTGAGCAGAAATGTCATTGATTGACACTCAATGTCACAGGGATTAAATAAATATGAAGTTCGACTGTCCTTCCCTGAAGAAGAAAAAAGTCTTCCTTCAATTAACCACTAGCTAAGAGTTCTACAAGGACTTTAAGAAAAAAATACCTTGAACTGAACTTAATTCAAGGTAGTGTAACGCGCAGGCCCATTTTAACAGCCATATTGACCACGCTCGATGTTGCTTACATTAAGAACAAGTCTTTAGGTTATACCATATACCGACAGTATTTCCCCCTCATACTCATTGACTGCTACAGTAGTAGACACGTAAATGCACAGAAATGGTATTTACCTTTGTCAACGGTGAAATATATATCAAACTCATTATAATGCTGCAACGGGGGCAGCAGATCAATTGTGGTTTCTTTAGTGTTTCATTAGCAAAGGACACATAATAAAACCCTCGATTCTACTGGGGCCCCACATTAGTCGCCTTTCTCGACATTTAGTAGGTATTCTACTACTTATATAAAGAAAGGTACAATTAATTGAATATATGTTAATTTGGCGTTACATATATAGAACTTTTATACTTTTGATAGAAACGGCACTTAATTGTCTACATTACGCGGAATGGAACCGATGAGGGAAGGTCAAGAATGTCAAGAACGGCAGACCTATTCTTTCTCAGAACCAGCAGGGAACAGTACAGTTTATTTATCTGGACTGAAAGATACGTACGCGTATATCCCATCGAACCCCTCCCCCCACTGAGCATAGAAATACAGATATTGATATGATCCCACTGTAGCGTAGCCTGTACGTTGAAAAAAGTTGGGCTGTTTTAAATATGGCAGCTGCCAAAACAAGAAGAAGGTGAGTTCTCAGAACGTGTTCGATTTTTCTACTTGAAAACTTTTAAGCGATCAACGGATGCACTGAAGCAAAAGATAATAGATCAGAGTGTTATAAAATGCTAAAATTCCACTCCAGAATAGCATCTATATTAAAGTTCAGTGTTTGCAAGGTGACGGGAGCCGGCATTTGGGATGTTCAGTCGACGACAAGTTTGAATTTGTTCAAAAAACTAGTTCAAAAATTGATTCTGAGTATTTATTGACCCATGATATAGGTTAAGAAGCCTTTACAGATTACTACTAATATAAACTGGTTGCAAAATGTCATATAAACAAGTAGAAATATGCATTTTAAAGAGGTGACCTAGATTTGTATTTGTACGGTTCGGACATTTCGTAATTTACGACTGTATGCGTTGTGACATTGGATGCAAAGTTGTAAAATTGTACGGTGAGGACTGCATATTCGCACATAACGATTGAGCGGTTGGGACTTCCATCACTTAAAGGTTGTTTGTCTATATAATTGCAGATACAAAGAAACATAGTTTACCAATGGAGTTGCACTACTTTTACGATTATATATATATAGCCTTTGGGATGAAAATCTACAGAATATCATTGACCATTCATGCTCAATCATGGAAAAAAACATATTGAAAATTCGAACCACAAAACTAATAAGATACGACAGACAGACGGAATAGTCACGTACGCCAGACATCTGGAATAGTAACGTACGGCAAGCAGATCGAATAGTATCATACGTCAGGAAGATGGAATAGTAACGTACGTCAGACTGATGGAATAGTAACGTACGTCAGACTGATGGATAGTAACGTACGTCAGACTGATGGAATAGTAACGTACGTCAGACTGATGGATAGTAACGTACGTCAGACTGATGGAATAGTAACGTACGTCAGACTGATGGATAGTAACGTACGTCAGACTGATGGAATAGTAACGTACGTCAGACTGATGGATAGTAACGTACGTCAGACTGATGGAATAGTAACGTACGTCAGACTGATGGATAGTAACGTACGTCAGACTGATGGAATAGTAACGTACGTCAGACAGATGGACTAGTAACGTACGTCAGACAGATGTAACAGTAACTTACATCGGACTGATAGAATAGTAAGGTACGTCAGACAGATGGACAAGTGACGAACGTCAGAAGGATGAAATAGTATCGTACGTCAGACAGATGGACTAGTAGCATACGTCAGACTGATGGAAAAGTATCGTACGTCAGACAGATGGACTAGTAGTATACGTCAGACAGATGGACTAGTAACTTACGTCAGACAGATGAAATAGAAACAAACGTCAGACTGATGGAAAAGTGACGAACGTCAGAAGGATGAAATAGTAACGTACACCAGACAGATGGACTAGTAACATAAGTCAGACAGATGGACTAGTAACTTACGTCAGACAGATGAAATAGAAACAAACGTCAGACTGATGGAAAAGTAACGTATGTCAGACAGATGGACTAGTAGAATACGTCAGACAGATGGAATAGTAACGTACGTCAGACAGATGGATTAGTAACGTACATCAGACAGATGGACTAGAAGCATACGTCAGACTGATGGAAAAGTAACGTATGTCAAACAGATGGACTAGTAGCATACGTCAGACAGATGTAATAGTAACGTACGTCAGACAGATGGACTAGTAACGTACGTCAGACAGATGGACTAGTAGCATACGTCAGACAGATGGAATAGTAACGTACACCAGACAGATGGAATAGTAACGTACGTCAGACAGATGGACTAGTAACATACGTCAGACAGATGGACTAGTAACATACGTCAGACAGATGGAATAGTACCGAACGTCAGACATATGGACTAGTAACATACGTCAGACAGATGGAATAGTAACGTACGTCAGACAGATGGACTAGTAACATACGTCAGACAGATGGACTAGTAACTTACGTCAAACAGATGGATAAGAAACATACGTCAGACAGATGGGACAGTATCGTACGTCAGACAGATGGGATAGTAACATGAGTCAGACAGTTGAAATAATAACGTTCACCAGACAGATGGACTTGTAACGTTAACCAGACAGATGGAAAAGTAACGTACGTCAGACAGATGGACTATTAACGTACGTCAGACTGATGGAATAGTAACTAACGCAGACTGATGGAATAGTAACGTACGTCAGACAGATGGACAAGTGACGTACGTCAGAAGGATGGAATAGTAACGTACGTCAGACAGATGGACTAGTAACGTATGTCAGACAGATGGAATAGTAACATACGTCAGACAGATGGACAAGTGACATACGTCAGATAGATGGAACAGTAACGTATGTCAGAAAGATGGACAAGTGACATAAGTCAGACAGATGGAACAGTAACGTATGTCAGACAGATGATATTGTAGCGTACACCAGACAGATGGAATAGTAACATACGTCAGACAGATGGACTATTAGCATACGTCAGACAGATGGACAAGTAACGTACGTCAGACAGATGAAATAATAACATACGTCAGACAGATGAAATAGTAACGTACGTCAGACAGATGAGATAGTTACGTACGTCAGACAGATGGACTATTAGCATATATCAGACAGATGGACTAGAGCGTACACCAGACAGATGGAATAGTAGCATACGTCAAAAAGATGGACCGGTAGCATACGTCAGACAGATTGACTAGTCACATACGTCATACAGATTGACTATTAGCATACGTCAGACAGATGGACAAGTAACGTACGTCAGACAGATGGAATAGTAACGTACGTCAGACAGATGAAATAGTAACGTACGCCAGGCAGATGGAATAGTAACATACGTCAGACAGATGGACTTGTAACATACGTCAGACAGATGGACAAGAAACATACGTCAGACAGATAGACTCATAACATGCGTTAGACAGATTGACTAGAAACATACGTCAGACAGATGGACTCCTAGCATACATGTACGTCAGACAGATGGAGTAATAACATATGTCAGACAGATGGAATAGTAGCGTATGTCAGATAGTTAGACTAGTAACGTACGTCAGACAGATGGACTAGTAACGTACGTCAGAAAGATGGACAAGTGACGTACGTCAAACAGATGGAACAGTAGCATACGTCAGACAGATGGAATAGTAACGTACGTCAGACTG